CAAAAGCTAAGGCATCTTTTTTTAAACGAAGTTCTCAAAATTTCATATAAAGCTAGAAACTGGTCCAATTCCTGGCTTTGGTTTCATGGATTGTCAGTTAATTTACATGTATTTCAGCTGCAGTAATCTGATGGAGAATTAAATAAATGATTATGATCTCATAATATATAAATCAATTCCATTCTTTATTAGAAATTTTTCACAAAGAGTATTAGATAATTAGGCTGTTATATAGTAACTCATGCATATCAAATATCACAGCCAAGAAGGTTAATTGAAGCTCCCTCTTCATCATTGTAAATGTCTTCAAACTGCTTTGACTGGGTCAAGTTGAAACAAAAAGGTACACTCTAATAAGTGCTCTGAACAAATTAATGGCAGAAAAACACTAATGGGAATAATATATTTCTTTGCATATTTATGGATTTTTAAGAGAATATTACTCTAATAATTCTTCCTGGAACTTATTCCTTTACACCAAGCCTCACTTACTAAAATATAAAATAAATTGTGTGTGTGTGTGTTTGTGATGTGTGTTTGTGTGAAAACATAAGAACAGCCATACTGGTTCAGACCAAAGGTCCACCTAGCCTGGTATCCTGTTTTCCAACAGAGGCCAATGTCAGGTGCCCCAGAGGGAGTGAAAAGAACAGATAATCATCAAGTGATCCCTCTCCTGTAATCCATTTCCAGCCTCTGACAAACAGAGGCTAGAGACACCATTCCTACCCATCCTGGCTAATAGCCATTGATGGACTTAACCTCCATGAATTTATCTAGCTCTTTTTTTGAACCCTGTTAAAGTGACCCGTGTGTGTGTGTGTGTGTGTGTGAGAGAGAGAGAGAGAGAGAGGGAGAGAGAGAATGAACTTTGACCTAGTCTACACTTAAGACCTAGCTACATCACTCAGGTCTATAAAAAAAAGTGTGTCCAGTACAACATACTTCACTATAATCCCTACTGTAAATGCAGCCAGGTCAACAGAAGACTCCTTCCATTTACTTAACTACCACCTATCAGAGAGATGGACCACCTACATTGACAGAAAAACCCCTTCTATTGATATAGGAAGTGCACTTGTATCCCTGTTATATGAGCATCCCTAATCCTGGAACCCCCATGGTTCAAACCCTGGCAGGGGGAGGAGGAAGTGGCTCTGTATGTTGCTGCTCTCCCTCCCCGCAGCCGGGGGAACGGCAGTGCAGAGCATTTCTCTGGAGGCTTTTCCCCATCTGCCTCTCTAATGGTAGGGGGCAGTGCCTGTGGGGAGGGGGAGGCACAAAGCCACATATGCCACTGGGAACAGGGTGGCAAGTAAACACCCCATCACCATCCCCTTCACCTTCCTTCTGTCCCTCCCAGGCCCTGCACCCCACACCCCAGTACACTCCTGCACTTCCCTCCCATGTGTTCCTGTCTATGTTACATGTGAAATAAAAACGCAGTACTTTGCAAAATGTTTGTATTTTCACCTTCAAAACAAAAAATAGGCATGAACACTCATGGTCGGGAAAATTCCACAATCCAGCAGTCTGTTGCCTAAAATTGCCAGATTAAATAGAGTTTCAAGTATATTAACACCCTGGTGCTATAACAGAACATTTGCAACACCATGGCGTAGTGAGGACTTACCCTGAATCATTATTTGTCAGTAGTTACTATACAGCGGTAACAGACATGCTACATTTTTCTCTATGTTTGGAATAGGAAATTCAGGGTTTGGCACTGACCAGGGATGCTGACAGCCTCCACAGGCCCCTGGGCAAGGTATGGGGGGGTGGGGAGGGAAATGCCAAACTTTTGGAATGGCAGGGCCTTAGTTAGAATGGGTGGAACCTGAGGCAGCCAGCCCAGAGTGCTGACCAGCCTTACACACCCCCAGTCCTTAGTGCTGCCCCGAGTGTGAGGCATAGCAGCCGGTGGAGATTTAAAGGGCTCAGAGCCCCAGCCACAGATGTTGCCACAGTAGCAGCAGTGGCAGCTGGGAGCCCTGGGCTCCTTTGAATCACTGGCCCCCAGGGCAACTGCAGGCTTGGCACCGACTGACAGTTTTAACTAAGCCAAATAAATATGTAACCTCAACATGTACAGTATTCCCTCATTTAATATAGGATGTGTCTGGAACGCTGCTAACATAAATATTAACTACATGCAAACCTAAATTAGGCACCAGTTCAACACTATGCTTAGTGGTAGGCTAAGCCCCGTATGTCCCCACAGGACCATTGAAGTTTTGGACACTAGGGTCTGCCATCATGGCATTACTTCGAGAATTGGGGCCTTGGTTATCTAAAGCAATTGGCAAGTTTTTAGCCACCTCCATTTTGGTCACCTCCATTTTGACTGTGTGCTAACTGTTGGCAAATGATGATTTCTTAACAGCAGCCATAGGACATATAAAAATTATTGTGCTCTTTTTTTCTTTTCTTTTATAATGGATTTTTCAAGAGAGAGCCTTGTGTGACTAGTTTATGTGATGCTATTGTCATTTACTCATTTTTCTGACTTCACTCCCATTGGCATAAAAGCTAACTGTGCTACTATATTCTTTATTTCAGATTTCCTCTCCTCCTAAGCTTCACCTCCTCCTCCTTCCTCCCTCCCTCCCCCCATAAATATCCCCTCTGTATTCCTTTTTATAAAGAGCCTTTAACATGATGGTGTCAAAGGAGCCTCTAAGTACTACTGCTACAAGCTTTTAATCCATTCTCATGGAGGAAGTTTTAAACAATTATCAAAGTATCATGGCCAACCCTATTAAAGGCTACCTAACACCTCATCAGAAATATTGAAAAGTGTTCACTTACACAATTTTGTCTATATGTCCTCTATTTCCTGTTTTTAATTCCTCCCTCTCTTATTTATTACAAGGGACATTTGCATGAAAACAGCATCTTTGTTTCTTTAGGTATTCATCTGCTCTGACCCATTTGTAGTATCATCCTCTTCCCGCTGAAGTCAAGGGGAATTTTACTGTTGAGATCAATGGGGGCAGAAGCAGTCCTGAGGGCTTGATCCTGAAAAAATGCTGGACACCATCAAGTCCTATTGAATTTGACAGAAAACATGTGGTGCTCATACACTTTAAAACATAATTCCCTTTTTGTGACACTGCAATTAGCTGTTGCACTGATGCTTATGATGTCATCGGGGATTATGACTTTATTTGAGAAGCAAGCAGCAGGAGCAGATGAATTGTTAAATAAAGAAAGCCTTCTCTTTTCATGCAAATATCCCTAGTAACACAAATGAGAAAGATAAAATAGAAAATTCAGGACTCACAGGCATTCTCTTAAGGACAAAGTTTTCTATGCAGTGTCAGTGGTGGATTCATCATCTGAAGTTTGCAAAACTCTTCAGTCACAGCATAGTAAGCATAGTTCTCCACATTTTTATTTTTGCAAAATCAGCTTCTCTTTTAAAATGAAGTGAAATTATTCCTAACTAATTAATTGCCCATGAAAACATGCTGTCACTGTGTGGCAAAGTGCACTGCACAGACATATATCCTTCATGATACATATTTGTTAAACTCACAGAGCAATCATTTTCAAGATGTTTTGTTGTAGGGTTTATTTATGAAGATGTGACAGAACAGAACTTCAATTGTGTGTGTGTGTGTGTGTGTGAAAGAGAGCAAGAAAGTTAATCTGCCAGGGCCAGAAAGTGGAATTTTGATTGGAAAGTCCTGTCAAAGTCTGTCTGAGTGATGGTTGCACTTTTCATCAATGTAATCTGTAATCCTCATTTTCGCTGGTTAGATATAATTCATTGTCACAGACACACAGACTTCTCTTTCCTGTGCTGACAAGGAAGAAACACTTCTCACAAGAAAAGATAGTCCTGCATCCAGTGCCAAAGCCATTTACATTCAGCCACACTTGATATATAGGCTAATATTCACAAATTATCTAGTCAGAATCTTCCTTAGAAACACCTGTATATTGTAATGTAATTCAGAATTTACCGCTTGTCAGGGAAGCACAAGTCCTACCATGCTGTGTCAATCATGGCCTGAAACCTTTTACTCAGCGCCTTCAAGCTGTTTTTTCACACTACTTGAGGAAGTTTGGCATCTCATAAAATTTAAAAATGAATTTGTGCTGCAGGAAAAGAAAGGATACAGAAAGTGTTGCTAATTAAGTAAAAGACAATATACTGTATGTCAAGTTGAGACATGAAACTTAGTTATTTTTAGAATATTCACTAATGGAAAGTAGGATATTAGCAGTATGTTAATATTTCCTGATTCTTCAGTTTTCTTTTTATTTGTTTCCCTCTGATTGCAGGATTAAATTTAACAGGATTAAAATGGAATGTCTTCAGTTATACATTTTAATATTTAATTATTGAAGTTTTACAAAGAAAAGTAAGGTATCCATCTGCAAGAAATTATTTTTGTTTTCTAAGGGCCTTATCCATAGCTGAAGATAGGACATTGGGTGGCCTCACCCCAGGCTGCTTGAGAATCCACCCCATCTTCAGAGCACCCCTTATCTGACCTTCCTAAAGGGGCAACTGGTGGTGATGCTCCCAGGTGGGGCAGGGCTGAAACCCACAGCCCTGGGGTCCCCAAACCAACCTGGACAGCTGTTTCTGTGTTTCTGATGCTTGCTTGCCTATCTGTTCGAGGGACAGTAAAGCTCTCACAGTACCTGCTGTGGTTGCCCTGTTCTTTGGATGCCACAGCTTTGTTCTTTGTGCCATGGAGCCAGAGCTGCCCCTGGGCATGGACAGGATGGGGGGCTGGAGCAAGCTCAGGGATGGCAGGGAGATAACGGGAAGAGCATGGGCATCACTTGGGAGGGAGCAGAAGCATTGCATGGGGGGCAGGTGGAGGGGTAATGGGCATAGCGTGGGGGTGGGCAGAAGGATGGGAGCCAGAAGCAGCGACGGCAGGCGGGTGTGCCATCATGTGCAAGATGATGGCACACATGGTATCACACTGCTACATGAGCTGGTCCCATGTGCGGTACTGCCACTCTGAGTCCTCGTGTACCTTCTGCACCAGAGTCTGCAGCATGTTGTGCAGGACGCTGACATGCTGGCGTATGAGGTCTTCCTGGGCCCTAGCACACTTCTGGGTCCCCCGGGCTCTAGCAGCTGGCTCTGGTGATGTGGCTCACTCCTCAGTCCTGACTGGCTTGGCTGTGGAGAACATAAAGAGGGAGAGGCAGTCAGTCATCCATGCACACACTGTCCCTGAGGCCGTGCCTTCTTCTGTGAGCAGCGACCAACAGCCCTCCGGGCAGATGTCCTGCGCTCTCTGGTCCGGATATATTCCTGGCAGAGCTCCTTAACCTTACTTCAGACCTGTTCCAAGCTCCAGGCTGGGCATCTATGCTCTGCCAGGGACTCTGCCATATGCTCAAAAATATCAGCATTGCGCTGGCTGGAGCAGAGATCCTGCAATATTTCCTCCTTGCTCGAGGAAGGACAGGATTTATGTCCTGTTGCTGCTCCAACAAAACTCCATAGTGTAGACATACCCTCGGGGACTGCCTAGCTCATTCTTGCTCACGTAACTCAGGATATAACTGATCAACATCTATGGTACTGGGAAGGAATTTTCCCCTAGTCTGACTGAAGGTGACCTGTAGTTGGTTTGTTTGTTTTTTCTTCTCTGAAGAGTATGTGCACAGATCACTTTCTAGGATTATCTGAATATATGGCACTTAGTCATTTTCCTGCCATTTTAGGGGGGCTCAAGCACTGGTATACCTCACTCCTTCCTATTCTCTGCCTGTGGCATATAATAGTCTAGTCTCCTGTCGGTTATAATACATTGGTCTGTTTTGATTCTTGGGTTTAATGTGTGAATGCTGTTGGCCTGTGATAGACAGGAGGTCAGACTAGATAATTTGGTGGCCCCTTCTGGCTCTGCTAAACGGTGCACTGGTGTGACTCGTGCACTTGCAGGAAGTTCTACTGAATTCTGTGTGGGATCTTATATGAATGTATAGAGCCATTCAGGATAGATGTCTAAATAAATGAATTCTGTGCAGATTGATTAGTCCACAATTCAGTGTGTTTATCAGAGAGATTTTTGTTTGACTGTAAGCTAAGGGGCTGATGTCCTAATAACTAATTTCTTCCATATTGCCATGCAAATTGCCATGTATAACAGTTTATAATATGTTTTAAAAATAATTAATTGAATCATCAAGAAGTTGCATATACCATAAATGAGTATATACACGATCTTAGTCTTGTAACCCCTGTCTTTCTTCATGCTCTTTCCTCCTCACTTTTTCTTAATTCCACTCACTGAATCACATCTATAATTAGATTAGAAGGTCTTTGGAGCAGCAACCACACCTCCTTCTTTGTAGTTGGAATAATCTATCACAGTTTTGGATGTGTTAATATTACTAAATAATAAAGCAATGTCAAACAATGTAGAGATGTTGGAAGTATAGTTAATGAATTTTTGAAGAACATGATGAAGATGAGAATTTTAAAAGAGAGAGAGAAAACAAGCCAAAGGAGTGTGGTCCAGAAAATCACTACATCCTGGTCACCAGCCTCTGTCAGCTACCATTTCCAATGTTTATTTATTGGAATGTACACAATATTTGTAATGTGAGCATTAATATATGGACCATGAACAGGAACACTTAACAGTAAGTAGGGGCCAGTCACGTGACAGGAAATATTTATATGTTAATTGAGCTTTTCTGCAAGAAATGTTATATTCAACCTTCCAACTGTATTTCAGCCATCAGACCACAGCCAATTGAATAATTTTAAAAAATAGCTCTAAGTTTACTTCCTTTTTTTTCATTTTCTCTTATTATTCATTAATAGTATTTGGACAAATGAGATACTCTGAAGAAAAAATTCATGAAACTCAGAATTCTCATAAATTTCAACATGACAAATCATTTGCACAAACATGCATTTAAAAATGTCATGATGCATCCAATACTCTCAATTTTTAATCATGCAATTATCCAATCCAAGGGAAGAGATCAAAGTCATCTTATTTAGATTCCCTGTCACAGTAAGTGAATAATCAATATTCAAAGCGATCTTTTGGTGAACAAAGAGTAAGTTGAAAATGAATAGCTGAGACTGTTAAATGAATGTTCCAGAATAATGGAAACATTAGCTGAAGTTATAATTCTGTAGCACACTGTGTCACATTCACCACTGTCATATAATTATGATTATGTTTTGTATAAAGTATGTCCTGTAAGATAAAGGATCTTGATTTACTGAGTATTATTATACTATTGGATTGTACATACTATCGTTGTATGGGAAGTTATGAAGTTTGCTATGTGTGTGTTACTAAAATATGTTGTGAAATTGGGAATACCCAAAACCAGCTTTTCAAGCACAACAATGGAGAACCCAGATGCAACTGATGACCTATTAAGGGGAGTCTACGGTTACAATAACTATCCTAGTAACTGTGTGCAATGGAGACTTCTCACAAATAGCACACAGATAATGGTGACCACTTTGCACATGTCAAAACACATGGGGGTTTTTTCCAGCAAGTTGGAAGAAGTTATAAAAGAGGAGAAGTAACATAATCATTGGACTCATTCCCCCCCACCACTGAACACCTGGAAACACATCTGGAGGACAAAGATATTGAATGAGAGAGGTGGGCTGGATGAGCAGTCCAGTATGGAAGATCTGTGATCTGTTTATACTATTTTTCAGGCTCGGACACTGCTTGATTCAAACTCTGTTTCCTTTATAGAACATAGATTATGTGCTTATTTTCTTACATTTCTATCCATTATGCCTACCGTTTATAATCCCTTAAGTGCTCATGTAACTCAGCTGGATGTCCCTGCCTGCGAATGTCTATAGGAAAACTTAAAAAACAATGAATAATCTTGCAGCACTTTAAGACACTAAAAAAAAAGTAGATGGTATCTTGAGTTTTCGTGGGCACAACCCATTTCTGTTGTAGGTATCAAATTTGTAAATGAAATTAAATTCTGTAGCTTCCCTGTCGAGGTGGCTTTTGAAATTGGTTTGAAATAATACGGGGAGATCCATTAATAAGTATCCAGGCAAGTTAAAATGTTCCCCAACAGGTTTCTGTGTGTTACCTTTTCAGATATCTGATTTGTGTCCATTAATTCTTTCTCATAGAGACAGTTTGCCCAATATACATGGCAGAGGGGCATTGCTGGAATTTGATGGCATAGATCGCATTAGTGGATGTGCAGTTATATGAACCTCTGATGTGGTGATTTATGTGGTTAGATCCTGTGATAATATTGCCTGTATAGATGTGTGGACAGAGTTGGCATGGACAGGGAAGTTACAGAACTTAATTTCATTTACAACAGAAGTCTAAACCAGTGTTTCTCAACCAGTGGTTCAAGTACTCTTGGGGAACTTGAGAGAACTCTTGGGGGTATGTCAACACAACTGAAATTTGGAGAAAACTGAATTTTTGTTTTACGTTTTACAGTGCTTTATTATTTTTGTACTTTTTACACCCAAAAATTTCATCGCCTGTCTGGCTACAATTAAGTTGTTTAAACAAATGTGTTGCAATGGTAAAAAAATAAATGTGTGTCTGAAAACTGTAGGTACTGGGAGTACTTATAGCTCCACTTGCTAATCACTTCTCGCCAGCTAGGAATTTTGCTGAAGAAACCTGTACCCATAAGAGTTGCACATAATAAACAGTTTTCCCAGTGAGAAATACGGCCAATAGGTAGATCAGTCTGACAACACAAAAGATACTTTTAATACTTGTGAATCACAAAATTTTTGTTTGGTTTGCAGCCTGTCCAAATAAAGACATTTAGAAAAGAGTTTTGTGAAGAAGAAGGGAAAAAAACAGGTCTTTACATCTTTTATTTATAAGGGTCCATTTGGGTACTTAGACATTTGAGCTAGAAAAGCAGAGATACCTTTAAGTCAGTGAGGAAGGAATTAAGTATCAGCTGCCTCCCTGAATTATGCACTCCTGATACACTGAAAGCATTTCCACAGCTTCAGGAGCAGTATTATCTTTCCCGTTCAGGAGTGGTATAATTTTCCCAGCTATAATTTATTTGATTTTCTTTAAATAAAACACTTCTGACACTTCTCTTTTAAAACATCCAACTGTGTAAGAACTAGAGCAACCTCTACTTAAGGAGCAGACCATCAAAGATTTCGTTTCTTGTATCTTCTCCTGGTACTTGAAGCTACAGAGGGGATCAAGTCTATTCAACAGTACTGCACCTAGAAGCTGCAGAGAGGGAAGAACATTCCTAGAAACAAGGATAGGCATCTTTCTGAATGTTTGTTACTATTTCATAGCAATTAACAGACTCAGCAAGGTGAAACTCCTGAGTATTTACAGTGGGATTGATTTTCAGAGTGCATACTTAGGTGCCTAACTCTCATCGAAAGTGAAAATCAATGGGATTTATGAACCTAAGTTTGTGTGATATATAAATAAGCAGCAGACTAAATGTACACATAGATAGAATTCCAATCTTGATTACATTTTCTGTTTATACAGCTGTGGTATATAATGTATTCAGATATGATATAGATAGCTCATTCTTGTGTCCAATGTACAAGCTTGATTTCTCCTGCCTTTCCATTTCAAGCAGCAAGAGTGTGTCTGAGTTGGGGGGAAAGGTCAACGATTATTGTAATTTGTCAGCTAAAAATCAGTGAAACCAAAAAGTTCTTTTACTTCAGGTGGGGGTTTACTGAAAGAGTTGTAAGGCAAAAATCTAGGATGTGGTACAAAAACAAATACGTATTTGAGAGTTTTTCCACTGGCTTCAAGGGGGGTTGTATTAGGCCCCACATGCAGCAAAAAAATGTTACAATCTATACATTTATACAGTCTAGAACTCTCATCTTTCAGAGTCAAAAAACAGACCTACCCCACTTGAATTAAAATGTGCCAACCGTTGTTTGTAGCAGTAACTACCATTAGCCTGTCCGTGGATCAACACCTGAATAACAACAGTACTCACTGATGTAGTAGATTATACCCCTGTCTCCACCCTTTCCATCTCTTCATGATGAGACGGAATTAAATGTGCCTAGACTATCCCTGATGGTGTTTGTCTAATTTGTGACTAAAAACCTCTCAGAATAGCGATTCCATAACTTCTTTAGCTAACCTGGAGACCTTTATGCCCACACAAGTTCTACTGCCATCTGTC